TTAACTGAAAAAAAAAACAATACAAACCATCACAGAAATTCTAATGGTTCCCACTACAAATACCATTACAAATCATCCTTTTTTTTACCATTAAAACCATTAAAAATGTTTTCCTGTAGTGTGTTTTGGGACATATTCCATTAGGAATCAGTGGTTTTAACAAGCCACCAATAGAAGCTGACCAATTACCCATAGAGACTAACAGGCTCCATTACAGTTCCCATTATAACCAGTAAAACCATTACGAATTCTGTTGTTGTTGTTTTTTCCCAGCAGGATAGTTGCTTATTAGCATGCCTATTATTAACATATTGGCTGTTACTTACTTATAAAGCACATATCTGCCTGACCATATTCTACTTCTACATCCCTAATCCTACCCAATACCTAAACTTAACAACTAAGTTACCTTACTAACTATTAATAAGCAGCAAATTAGGAGTTTATTGAGGCTAAAGTCGTAGTTAATGGTTTGTTAATAGAGAGAATTGGACCTTAAAATAAAGTGTGACCATAAAGTTACATATTAACATTTATTACATATACATAGTAATAAAGTGACTTAACAAAATAATAATAAATCATAAATACATTTATAATTGCATTTACAATTATATCACTAGCAAAAAATTACCATGTTTTTGACTGTTTAATAATATTGTATATGTACAGCAAGGGATTCATATTGTTCTTAGTCTTTTAGATGTTTGTGACTTCTGTGTCTATTCTGTTTTTTCTTTTTTAAAAGGCACCTACAGATTTCAAAAATTTGGTCAGAAGATTTTATGTACTTCAAGCTGAGCGTGTGGAGGCATACAAGCTATTTGAGGAGTCAGTTTATTTCCACCTATCTATCTATCTGTCTATCTGTCTGTCTGTCTGTCTATCATCTGTCTGTCAGAGGTTATTTGAGGTAATACAGTTGTTGTTTTTTCTCAGGGGTCATGAGGCGTACTTAAGGACGGGGCCCCACTATGACTTCGAGCACTACAAACAGCTGGTACATGAGATAACGAAAGCATTCTGCAGCATTTCCAAAGAGGTTCTGCAGATTAAAGAGCAACTGCACCAAGACTTCGACCGGCCCGACCTCTCCGAACACATTGACAAACTGCAGATTAAAGAGAAGGAGAAACTAGAGCTGGTGGGCAATGTATTGTTTTAAAAAAATGTTTGGCTGATACTACACAATACTGTTCACAGATTTGATCTATTTTAGATCTATTTTGCTTTTCATTCCAAATTTGATAAAATAATGAGTGATTAAACACTGAAGCTGCAAATACTTCACGTTGATTCATCAGGTTGGAAATGAAAACTTGAGTGCATTGCATTATGGGATACAGCATTTCAGGCAGTGCGCTGGGTCATTGAGATATTTTATAGGAATGTTAGGATGTGCACTGTCAAGCATATTTAGTTAGAAAGGTGATCAGTTAAACATTTCAGTCCTGCATAACTTAAATTAGCTTGTCAAATTATTTTTCTCATCCCTTCTGTATGCATAAGACTGAAACGGTATTGAACCAAATGTATCTGTTCTGTAATTGGTTACTGTATTCTTAATGTTTATCTATATTTATGACTTTGCAGACAGCTAAGTTACAGTTGGCCAAGCAGAATGCCCAGGATCACCCAGAAGATGAGGATTTCCAAGAGAAAGTCCGTGAGATCAAACAGGAGTAAGTGCAACTGCGTATATATATTTTGTATATTTTTTAAATGGTTTTATTTAATATTAACTTGTAATTTATATTTAATTAAAGGCATTATTTTATATATTATATTGATTAGTAATCATGTGTAAAATTACATTTAATTATATAATTAATTAATATTAATGAATGAATGATGTGTGTGTGTACATTTTTTAAAATAGTATTAGAATCAACTATAAAAAATAGAAAGTATTTATTAATTATGCTTTAAATGTTTAGCTGTTTGTTTCTTGCATATTAGTGACAAAATGTTAATTGATTAATAAAATAAATGGACAGGAGTAAGTGCAAGTTTTTCCTACACACCTGACAATGACAAGAAAATTGAGAAAAACTACTTAGAACACAACTGTATTTTTTGCATATTTTTAAAATGTAATTTAGTATTAATTTGTCATTTATTTTAAGTAGCTTAATATATATATATATATAAGAATTATGTGTAATTTATTTTGATTTTAATGACATAATATATATTGTATCACTAATTCATTACTTTTATATAGAATGTCATTTATATGTTATAGAATATCATTTAAATAATTTAAATGTTCAGAAAGTATTTATTAATTAGGCTACGCTCTATATTTATCACTGTATATATCACTGTTGTAATGTTTCATCCTGGTTTTGATGTACAGTACTTGGTATATCAGGTTAATGGTTAACACCTTTTGTTCTTCTAAACCTCCGAATGAAAAAAACCCTTTCTGTTTCTCTCCATCTCTGTCAGTATCATAAAGAATACAGCCGCTTTAAGTGAGATTCTGCAAGACTTCAAGTATGACTCAGAGGAGCCGGAGTGAGATTCAGTCAGTCTCAGGAGACAGAGATGGATTCAGATCCTCTATGAACTTTCCTTTCTAATGAAGAGTCATCTAAGGTATCGATCGCTGTCTCAGGCGTTGCATAGACAGAGTGCATTGCTGCTGCTGATGCAGGCTTTGCAATGCATATTTTTATTAAAGAGAGTTTGGCATCTTTTATTTCATTATTTTTTATACTTTCAGAATAGCTTATGACGTTTTGTTTGCTAAACCAACACAATGTTAATTTAAAGCATAGATCTGTTCATTCTGAATGTAAATAACTATGTGCATAATAATAATATTCAGCAAAAGCTAACGTGTTACAATATATATGAGCATTCCTTAAATATTTTGAAGACATTTATACAAACAAAACTATTTATACATAATGATACAGTATTTACATGATGTTTTTGAACACAGAGGACAAACAAATTGCATTTCAAATACCAATTTAAATGTGTGTGTTTAACAATTAAAGGGACAGTACACTAAAATGAAAAGTTTGTCATTATTCACTCACCCTCATTTCATTCCAAATCTGTATGAGTTTATTTCATATGTGAAAGCTTTAAAAAGGACACAGAAGGGCAGCCTTCTGAAGCCATATGATAGTTTTGTATAAGGTGAATTGGATCATTTAGTTAAATGAATTCAAGATTTGTGAATGAATTATTCAGATAGGCGCATTAACTGGAACTGCTGATTCATTCAAAAGATCTGGTTCCAAAGAACGATTCATTCAGAACATCACTAATTCTCTCATGAACTAGCTTTAGGACGGACGGATATCATGGTTTTCAGTGAATAACAACACAAATTTCAATGTGTTTGTCACACAAAACTATTATATGACTTCAGAAGACTAAAGGAAAAGTTTTTCCCTTGCGTTTTTAAAAAGTTTCACGTATACACGACAATGTTTTCAAAACGATTCGTGTTTACACATATCCACGAAAACGGCCATAAACGCTATATTACGTATGCCAGGCCAGTAGTTGGCGGTGTCACCTTGTTAGCGAGTATATGATGCATCTCCGCTGTTGGTTGTAATATTGGTGAAGTAAATCCACACTTTGCTGAAGAAGCGTTAGCAAATTCTTGAGCAGCAACAACAGTACCATGTACTCCGCCATTGTTGTGTATGTTTGTTCGCGCTTGCCTTTAAAATCGACACGTACTGCGCATGTCTACATACCTAACACGTACTACACACACGCATGACGTCACCGTTTTCAAAGATTCCCGTATTGGGTGTTTACACGGAAACGATAACGGTGGCGTTTTCAAAAACTTGCACTTTGAAACCCGTTTTCAAAAATATGCGTTTTCAGTCCCCAAAACACCGTTGTCGTGTAAACGAACAGGCAAAACGCATAAAAAGTTTCCCGTTTTTGGCTGAAAACGATGTGTAAACGGCCACTCAATCTACTCGTTGTGTGTCTGCGAATGTCAGCAAGATGTAAATGTCCTTTTTTTGGATGACAGGTCAATGAGAATGAGAAAGTCTCCTATTATCTCCTTTAATGAAATGAATAAAACATTCCAAATTTTCTGAAGCCAAATGATAGTTTTGTGTAAGAAACAATTATTCGCTGGATCACTAAATCAATTGAACTCGAGACGAATCACTCACTCGAATCAGCTGATTCATTAAAAAGATCTGGCACAAAAGAACAATTTATTTATAACATTGCTAATTCTCTTATAAACGAAGTGAAGCGTGTCAGATGGATCAATTTTATGACGATTTTACAATGCTTTTGTTCGTTTTGGAATTTGCATTAGTTTCCATAAAGAGTAACTAAGTATTGTAATTAGTTATTTTTCAAGGAGGAACGTAATATTGTGATACATTACTTTTGAAAGTAACTTTGTAAACATACGTTGTTTACGTATGTGATACTCTCCAAAATGGTGCTATAGGGTGACGCGGAGGAGACAAATTGTTGTATAAAGTCGTTATTTTTGTTTTCTTTGCGCACAAAGAGTATTCTCGTAGCTTCGTAAAATTATGGTTGAACCACTGATGACACATGGATTATTTTAACGATCTCCTTGCTACGTTTCTGAGCCTTGATCATGTTAGGATCCTTGTTGTCTATGGGAGGGTCAGAGAACTCGGATTTAATCAAAAATATCTTAATTTGTTTTCTGAAGATGAACGAAGGTCTTACGGGTTTGGAACAACATGAGGGTGAGTAATTAATGACAGAACTTCCATTTTGGGGTGAACTAACCCTTTAAATTTCAATCTGTTTGTCCTGCAAAAAAATAATATGACTTCAGAAGATTTGGAATATAGTGTTATGATACTTTTACAGTACTTTTGTTCATTCTGGAGCTTGGCAGCATCAGTCCTCGTTTACTTTTTTAGTAACTATCCCTTTAAGAGATTAATATTTAAATGCTCGTTTTTTGTTGTTGCTTACGAATTCTCACTCTGCAAATTAAATTTAGTTTGTAAAATCTGTCAGTTTTTGTCATTTTCGATCCACTTGTTGAGTTGCAAAGGTCCTTTTTTTTGGATGAAAGGTCAATAAGAATGAGAGAATCCCCCATTATCTCCTTTTTTAAAACATTTTATATTCTCTCTTTGTTTTAATGCCCTTATAAATAACATGTCTGAGACAAAAGCGCTTCCTTTGACGTATTTGATGGGGACTACAGCAGGAGGCAAACAGTAGATCATGTCACCAAACGACAGGCTCCTTGCAGATCCCTTCGGAGAGTCTTGGCTCATCCAAATGAAAGTCCCAAGCACTGGAGAGTGATAAAAACCTTGTCGTCGCAGGCCCCCGCAAACTCTCCCAAGCCTTCTTTAGAGTTTCACTATGATTTACCGCTTTGTAGTACCTGAAAGGCAAGACAATGACATTTACAAGTGAATGTGATGAGTTGATATATGGGGACAGAGAAGTGTAATTGGTACCAGCCATTCTTGTGGCAGTTACATCGTGTTCTTCAAAGGACAGTGTGACTAATGAAGCGACCTAAGTTTCCCAACAGTCGTCAGTGCCAAAGCAACAGTAACCACTGAATCGGTTCAGAGAGCGTGCAGCGGATGTCGGTTAGCGTTCGAGAACGCCACACAAGACTTCTTGGGCTCGGTTGGTTCACAGCTGAAGCTTTGCCGCGCAGTCTAACCTAAAAGGAATTTATTAGCATTCTGGCTGATTACTTTGAGTGGCTGTTTCCTCTCTGTTGTGGTAACGTCTGAAGATTATATGATGCTTCGCTATTAGTAAGCGCAATCAAATGTGAGCCTATTGATCAAAAGAATAAACAGATTTTTTGGTTCTCTTTTTTGTGGGTCACATAAAACCGCAAAATGCTTCTTTTTTTTTTTTTGTACAGAGCAGGCCCTATATCATGTGTGCCAACAGTAATGATTTGTTGTCTTGATATGTGTCGCATAAGGAGGTGCGTTTTGTCCTTACTGACCTGGTCGTGCGTTTTCTGGGCTTTCTGCAGCCAGACGCGCCATTGGTCGTAGAGTTTAATGCTGACGTCCGTACAGCCATAAGAGTGTTTGCGCATCCAGCCGAAAAACTGCTTAAGCTCCTTTCGTAGCGTTGAGTTGTGCTCGCTGGGCTTCGAATCACACGAGCCAATATGTGACCTGTCTGTTTGGGAAATGACAATGCATTAATGTGATATTAAATTTAAGTATTAAAATTTAAAATAAGTTTTTGGTGAGAAATTATACAAATCGTAACTGTAAATATTGGTGGCAAATTCAAACTTAAAATACTGAGTATATATATATATTTCAGCCTTTTGACAGTATTTAATATGGGATGCATGATATATCAGGAACATATCTGTTATCAAAATTAATATATATAATTCACTATATATAATATATGTATGAATTCACTTAAAGTTTTTAGATTTTAGTGTTTTATTTTGAATTTTATTAGAAAAGACTGTAAATAATTTTAATATTGGTCATTTATCAGCCAAAAAAAGAATCCTATCGGTAACAGTCTGAATTTTTATATTGGCGAATCTCTGATCTCTTTGAGTCTATCACCCAGCTCTGTGCAGTACCCATTATTTGATTTTATTAAATTAGTGTCTACATATTTTAAATGTGAATCATCAGATAAATGCATTTGTAAGACATTTGTTAAATTCAACCCCAGTTGACAAGTTGCTTAAATGCTGTCGATTGTACAGTGTTGCCCTGAGCGATGTGCACATACCCATGAATAATAGGCTATTTACCAGCTCTCTGCTAATGAGCTCCAAAGCATTAAACAGAATGCAGGAGGGAGAGCTCAGACTTGCCATAACTCATATTGCTTGGCATAAAACAGAGCTTAATAACATCCTCTCTTTAATGCAAGACATGTAACATAATTTCTTACGAACCGAATCTGTTTCCACTAAGTTTCAGGTCGACCGCCCCTTTAATCTGAACATGCTCTAAATACTTTTTTAATTTATTAATCTAAAAAAAGCCCAAAGAATTCATCAATTGTCCCCTAAAGCGCTCTGACATTTTGCTGAAGTCTTTTGAATCTACTTGTGAGAGATCTCTATCAAGTAGCTTGATGTTTTTTCAGTGTTTACATATGGTTTGAATCTAATTAGCTTGTGATGCAGAAGCCTAATGTGAAGTAAAGGGACACTGCATTATTACGTTTTGATGAAACTTACCAATGCCAGGTGTCGACGCGGCGGTCGAGTGGCTCCAGTCGCTCCAAATACCTGCTTTCTTCGAGCCGTAGATGCCTATCGGGTTGCAGCGTACCTGGACGAAATACACTGTACCGGCCCTGAGACCCGCTAACCGACAAGATGTCTGGTTCCCAGCATCATCTATGACCTCATGAGAAATAGAAAATAAAAACTAAGACTAATCTAAGTATGTGCACCAGACATTATATTGGGGAAAGCTGTTCACCCAAAAATGTAAACTGTCTTTTTCTACCTTCATGTCATTTCAAACCTGTAAAAGTTATGCAGGTTTGGAAGAACATCGTAATAGTGGTCCATAGGACTAGTGCACTATATTCCAACCGTTCTGAAACCATACCACAGGTAAAGAAAGAGTGAAATTATAGCTGATAATCTTCCCCTCCAGTGAGATGTTAACTGCTGGATCCTTGCGTCAGTAAGTTGAATGTGAGAACTGGATTAGTCAGTTAATAAATGAATCATTCAATCAAAAAAGCTATCAAATGAGTTCAAAAGACTTAGAATATATAGCACACAAGTCGTATGGACTACCTTTTTGAGGCAGAAACATCATTTTGGGGTTAGGTTAAGAAAGGAGTGGCCAGGAGATGTTCCACAGAACAAAGAAACTTACGTAGAATCACATGAGGCTGAATAAACATTAACAGAATGTTCATTTTGGGGTGAACTGTTCCTTTAAATTTTGCTCCTGGAGGGCCACTTTCCTGCATCATCTTAGAATTTAGCTCCAATATACCTGCTTGTAAGTTTCTAGTGATCTTGAAGACCTTTATTAGCTGGTTCAGTTGTGTTTAATTAGGACTAGAGCTAAACTGCTAGATGGTGGTCCTCCAGGATCAGGATTGGACACCCCTGCTCTTTTGGACTAAACCAGGGGTGGCAAATCATGCTCTGTACTCTTGAAAATAAAGGTTCTTTATTGGTATCTATGGTTCCATGAAGAACCTTTAACATCTAGTGATGTTCACATTGAAGCCATTGAAGAACCGTTTTTGGTTTCCCAAAGAACCTTTCAGTGAACAGTGAATTTTTGTCTTAGTGTGAAGAACATTTTAAAAATCTAACAAACCTTTTTACATAAAAAAAAAAGAAAACCTTTTGTGGATTGTAAAGATTCCATGGACGTTAAAGGTTCTTCATGGAAACATCGATGCTAATAAAGAACCATTCTTTTTAAGAGTGAACTAAAAAATGGTTCTTTTAAGAACTGTCCACTGAAAGGTTCTTTGGAAACCCAAAATGGTTCTTCTGTCATTGCTGTGAAGACCTTTTTTTGGAACCTTTGGCTGCGTCCGAAAACTCTAAAATGCTGCCTTCGGAGGCAGCATTCCAAGGCAGGAAGGCATCAAGGCACGTCCGAATCCAAATTCTGCTTCACTTCCTGTCTCCGGAGGTACCTTCTTCTGATCAAATGTATATATAGATGTATCCTTCGCTGCCTTTGATATCCCACAATCCTGTGCGTTCCATTCCGTAATGGTTAAGCTAAAAAATAAAGATGGCGTCTGAAAGTTGCGTTTGGTGGTCAGTAAATGTTTATTTCTGACTAACTTTTTGCACAGTTATTTCTAGTGAGAAATCAGTATTATAGTAATTAAATATTTGTTTAGTTATCACCAAAACTCGTTCTATTTTGTTGTATATCATTAAACCGTTACGCTGTCCGAAATCAGTTTCATGAGGTGCCTTCGTGCAAAAACGCTGCCTGCAAAGTCATTGCAACATACGGCAGCGAGGCAGCAAGTCAGCTGCCTAAGTTTTCGGATGCAGCCTTTATTTTTAAGAGTGTTTAGCTCCAAAACCAATTAAACACCTGAACCAGCTAATCAAGGTCTTCAAGATTTCCAGACAGGTGTGTTGGGGCAGATTGGAGCCAAACTCTACAGGACATTGGCCCTCAAGGAGCAGGATTTGCACTCGCCTGGACTAAATCATTTCAGCCATACCTTCCATTCGTTGCTCTCCTCCACACGGTATCGTATCTGATATTTGGCCTGAAACAGGTAGTCTTTCAGGGCAGGAGAACTGCCCCAACGTACACTTAACTGATCTTCCAGATCTCCAACGCGGCTCACAAGGACATCAGGAGGCGGATCTGTAGTTACTGAAAGGAATATTTCACAACATCAAACATGTACGAAAGTCATTTTCAGAACTGTTGATTAAACCCAATAAAAGTTGTTAACCGTTAAACGATTCTTCCTTTCCTTCCTGCTTGTGATTGAATCTCCCAATAAACCTTCATCGAGTCTCATTAGCTAGATGATATTTTGCCGTAACTACGGCAATCTCCCATTTCCATTGTTGTTTGAAATGGACGTGCTCCACTGCTATGTTTTTTAATCAAGCTTGCCTTTAGGGCAAAGCCAATCATGGAGCTTATTGTTTCAGAAGATGAGGAAATGAGGCCTTAAAGATGTAGTAATGTAATATCTTCGCTTTTCTCAGCAAAAAAATGCTGATTGATGGATGTAGTTTAATTGTGATTAATTCGATTAATGCATTGGTATGTCAAGTAAGTCATTTGATTTAAAATTTTAACCAATTGCCAACAGACTTTCAGCTGCCCATTGACGTTTAAAATACTATTTTCACGAGTTGCCTTTTGGAAACGTTTCAGCTGTTGGAAAGTGTTTTTACAGTCTGTAAAAATCTTTTCTCGCAGACGAGTGTGTGCGCTCCATATGCGAGACGTTCAGATGGTTTTGTGCATTTATGTGCGAGTTGGTAAGCGTGACGTTATCCCAAGTCAGCTTGATCTCAACATCCATTTTTCCATCAAACTAGCATATTTCAGTCTTACTTACCTACATCTAAAATGTCTAAGGTGATGACATCAGAAATGGCAGAGCCGAGCTGATTGGACGCCTCCACCCAGACTTCATATGGCGTAAAAATGGCAAGGTCGCGAGGAACGTAGCATGTATACATAGAAATCAGTATTATAGTAATTAAATATTTGTTTAGTTATCACCAAAACTCGTTCTATTTTGTTGTATATCATTAAACCGTTACGCTGTCCGAAATCAGTTTCATGAGGTGCCTTCGTGCAAAAACGCTGCCTGCAAAGTCATTGCAACATACGGCAGCGAGGCAGCAAGTCAGCTGCCTAAGTTTTCGGATGCAGCCTTTATTTTTAAGAGTGTTTAGCTCCAAAACCAATTAAACACCTGAACCAGCTAATCAAGGTCTTCAAGATTTCCAGACAGGTGTGTTGGGGCAGATTGGAGCCAAACTCTACAGGACATTGGCCCTCAAGGAGCAGGATTTGCACTCGCCTGGACTAAATCATTTCAGCCATACCTTCCATTCGTTGCTCTCCTCCACACGGTATCGTATCTGATATTTGGCCTGAAACAGGTAGTCTTTCAGGGCAGGAGAACTGCCCCAACGTACACTTAACTGATCTTCCAGATCTCCAACGCGGCTCACAAGGACATCAGGAGGCGGATCTGTAGTTACTGAAAGGAATATTTCACAACATCAAACATGTACGAAAGTCATTTTCAGAACTGTTGATTAAACCCAATAAAAGTTGTTAACCGTTAAACGATTCTTCCTTTCCTTCCTGCTTGTGATTGAATCTCCCAATAAACCTTCATCGAGTCTCATTAGCTAGATGATATTTTGCCGTAACTACGGCAATCTCCCATTTCCATTGTTGTTTGAAATGGACGTGCTCCACTGCTATGTTTTTTAATCAAGCTTGCCTTTAGGGCAAAGCCAATCATGGAGAATTCCAGAGCTTATTGTTTCAGAAGATGAGGAAATGAGGCCTTAAAGATGTAGTAATGTAATATCTTCGCTTTTCTCAGCAAAAAAATGCTGATTGATGGATGTAGTTTAATTGTGATTAATTCGATTAATGCATTGGTATGTCAAGTAAGTCATTTGATTTAAAATTTTAACCAATTGCCAACAGACTTTCAGCTGCCCATTGACGTTTAAAATACTATTTTCACGAGTTGCCTTTTGGAAACGTTTCAGCTGTTGGAAAGTGTTTTTACAGTCTGTAAAAATCTTTTCTCGCAGACGAGTGTGTGCGCTCCATATGCGAGACGTTCAGATGGTTTTGTGCATTTATGTGCAAGTTAGTATGAAGTTATCCCAAGTCACCTTGATCTCAACCTAAATTTTTCCACCAAACTAGCATATTTTAGACTTACTTACCTACATCTAAAATGTCTAAGGTGATGACATCAGAAGCGGCAGAGCCGAGCTGATTGGACGCCTCCACCCAAACTTCATATGGTGTAAAAATGGCAAGGTCGCGAGGAACGTAGCATGTATACATCTGTCCTGTGTAGTCCTCACAGTCTTTCTCTTTACCGTACCATCTAGATGGTTATTAAAATGGAAGAGTTGCATACTAAAAGGGATTCTTGCAAAACAGGTGTTGGTATAAAGTTTTTTGGTGTCAAAATCTCACTTTAGTTTGTACTTGAGGATGTATCTGGTGTTGATGAATGTCTCTCCTTGACTTCCCGGACTCCATCTGCAGCTGAGATCCTTGGTGTTTCGTGACCAACATGTCAGGTTGACAGGTTTCTCAGGGGGCGCTATATGTCAAATTAAAACAAAAGGAAGAGGACAGCATGAATATTCAAAAACACATGGCAAAAAAACAAGCTGGAAGTGTTCACAACTCACAGCCAACATAAAGACATGATCCAGCCAACACTTCTCCATTGCTTCGGTGGCAAACCAGGTTGTCTCCTGACCGCTGCAAGGAGCCATTGAGTTGATGGAGTGTGACGCTGGATTCGGTCGGGCTAAGGACCTTATAAGTGTTTCTAGCCAAGCGTTTTCCATTCAGCGTCCAGTACAAGGATCTAGCTGTTATTTCCAGCTCGGCGCTAATGGTGCACACCGCAGTCAAACTCGAGCCGATATGAAGCACTGGATCCTGGGGGGATATGACGGCCAAGTCTGGGGGTCAGAAAAAGAGGAGACTTCATGATTCCAGCAAGTTTTACAACTGGATTTATGACCGCAGTTGGAAAGGTCGCACAAGGTCATTTTTCAGCAACTTAAGTGGTTTTCCATCTTGTAAATATTCGTCTTGTGTGTCCGCAGAGCTCATATTTATTCATGTTTAAGACAAATGTTCAGAGGGAACGATGGCTGGATTGGAAGAGCTACTACTGGCCTTCAGGGAAACCGGGTGTTGATGCAGATCATTTCTGCTCCTGGTGGGAGGCAGACAAACTCTTTAACATGTGCCATTGGACACTAAGAAACACTGAAGAGTTGGGAAACAAGACTGAAAAATTAATGTATAAACTATGGTACTGTACTTGTTAGGAAAGGCTTACCTTATTGGAAGCTTTTACTCCTTTAGCATTGTTTGGAAAAACTGACCAATGAAATCAATCTCTTCTAGCGGAAGGATGCCTAACTTAATGAATTTGCTTTTTAAATAAATTAATTTGTATCCTTGATAATCTTGTCATGTAGTGACTGTTTCATAAAAGCAATATTGCACTCCAAGACGAGCTAGTTCTGTCAATAACACGACTTTTTTTACTTTAGGTTTTTCTGTTTATTAATACAGTTATTATCATCTTGTAGATCTATTTACATCTTAATATAGCATGTCTTTACACACTTTTGCATTAATTTCCATTAGTTTATTTCAAATGCAAGTTATTATTAGGGCTGTAAACGATTATAAGGTCGCCGTTAAACAGTATGAGAAGTTTACAGAACATTTCTGTCAGTTTTTTTTATTTTGAAGAAAGTCATCGCTAATGACAAGTTACCACAGTTAAAATGAATAAATCTTTCTTAACTATTGAATTTTACCGTAAACTAAGACGAATATGACCTCTACATTGACACAAACGTGAGGAGAGATGAAAATGAAAACAAACACCTCCAACAAGACCTTTAAATGAAGATGAGAAGTTTGTAGACATATTCTCAAATAACTTTACTTCAAAGTAAACTTCAAATACACTTGAAATTGTACTTACGTGCTGTGAGCACATATGGAAGAAGCGCAACAAAAAACAACAAAATGACTAAAATTGCCATTTGTCTGCCGCGCGCCCTCTCAACTCGATTCTTGTCATGCTGATGGGAGCGCGCGCACGCATAATCCATTCTCCTTCACATAAATTGCTGAAAATGAAAAGCCTTAATCACCAGAAAGCTTCGTAAAAATCATTGCTGGTTCTGGAAAGCACCATTATGCGGAGAGGACGCTCAGATTCACCTTCACTCTCAATTTAGGAGAAGAATCAATATAGCGCACGCCTCAAAAGCTGAAAAAGTTGATTCTTCTGAAGCTCCTCCCATGTCTTACCACACAGCCACAAGTCATTATTAGTAGCGCATCTGCAGCCAGTGTTTTCTTTTCTTTTTTTGTATACTAAGTTGGCCACAACAGAAAACAATGAAACAAACCCTTCCCAAAATCCTTCCTTTTTGTATTTGTCTGCTGTTCCTCACGTAGGAACAGATGTAGGCTACATCTAACGTTTGTTCTACAGCCAATACACACGATTAATTTTTGTCTACATCGCATAGTTTATAATGGTCTGTTTTGTGTAATGCAGCTCCACACCCAGTGCTACTTTACAACGAATTGTGTAATGCCTGAATAGTTAGGACACACTATAATTTAGAGATTATTTCATTAATTTCTCATAACCATAAATACATTTTTACTTATGAATGTGTATTGGACTTTAAAACAAAATGTGCTTTTTTTTCTATAAAAGTTAGGGTATGTGTTTTATTCCTGGTCACAGTTGTATTATTCAGTTTCAAATATGAAAGCACACATAAACACATATATATATATATATATATATATATATACACACACATTTACATTTAGTCATTTAGAAGATTAGAAAACAAGCGTTAGTTTTTTTTAAGAAAACAAGCAGCAAATGAATAGAGTGCAAGTCTAAAAGGGACAAGTGTTTTTTTTTTTTTAGAATAGAATAGAATTAGAATAGAGAGTGCTAGAGTTAGGGGGTCAAATAAAGATGAAAGAGATGTGTTTTTAGCCGATTCTTGAAGATGGTTAAGGACTCAGCTGCTCGGATTGAGTTGGTCAGGTCATTCCACCAGGAGGGAAGATTTCATTTAAAAGTCTGTGAAAGTGATTTTGTGCCTCTTTGGGACGGCACAATAAAGCGACATTCACTTGCAGAACACAAGCATCTAGAGGGCACAAGGGGTGCAGAGCCAGTGGTTTTGTAGACAAACATCAATGCCTTGAATTTTATGCAAGCAGCTAATGGTAGCCAGTGCAAATTATAAACAGAGGTGTGACGTGCGTTCTTTTTGGCTCATTAAAAATGAATCTTGCTGCCGCGTATATATATATATATATATATATAATTCAGTCATCCTCATTAGAACTTTATTTCATGTGGTAGAAATGAAACATCTGTGTTGTTTTTATTTACATTAAAGTACTAGACACACATTTTTCCCCGTTGTTTCTATGCACTCCGTTATACCCGATCTGCTGCAATGCAATGCACTGGCCGGAGACTCGCAGCGCGTGTGTGATGATGTGAGGAGTGACGCCACGGCGCCTCAAAGGCACGAGGCTGATAGAGCCGATCCGAAGCAGCTACTGCAGGGACCGGTCGAGACTCACCGAACCCCGCAGACGCGCCAGTGCACCGAATCCTGCAGAAAAAAGATGCTCCAGTTCGGCGGCAGGGTGCGCGGCGTTTCCGCGCTCGTCTCTCTGATTGTGGTGGCGTTGGCGACGGCATCATCTGATCTGTTTGACAACCAACTGGGCGATATCAATTACTGCAAAAAGCAATGCCAGATGTCCATCAAAAACAAAAGCCCCGCCAAAGTAAGTACCACGTACCAGATGCTTTTGCAGTATATTGTAACGGCCTGTGGAAAATGCGTTTAATCGGATTTTGCGTTTACTACTGGTTCGGCAGAGTCGCAGCCATTTGCAGATGTGAATAAATAAAGTCGTTCTGCAATTGATAATCGCTATAGGGAACGTGCGGGGTTCATTTTGACACAAAACTGTTCTGCGCAAAGACACTGCGCAAAGATGGGAGCATTATTTGGTAGCACCTCGAGCCAATTCTTAATCGATTCCTGGAATTCTGTGTCCCAGTTCCTGGCACCGCATGGAAACGTTAACGTCACTTTGTATCCACCAAGAACAGGCCGAGAACGATGCTTTATGGCGCATGAATTTAACGGTCAGTATGTTAGACCTGTCTGGCCGTGTCTGTCATTCGGATGTTTTTTAACCGCAACGTTCTAACGTTCTAAATGCGCAAAACTGAGCGCGGCAATAGAAGCACGCGAGCGCATCTCTATTGTTTGATGTTGGCCCATAAACGCTTGTAAAGAAGTTTGCTCCATATCCGAGGGCGACGTCGTTCAGTTACGTTCGTTTAGATTGTGTATAATCATGTGAAGGAATTGTTCTTTAAAAATATATTTAGAAACTGAGATCCTTATTTTTCTTACAGCCTGCATCACTTCGCACTAGAGGTGGTTCATCTTTTGGGATGAGAATTGATTTGAACGATTCTTATTCTTATCAATTCTAGCTTTAACTGCCCTTAAAAACAATGAGTTAATTTGATATCAACAGAACAGATATAACAATTACGATATGTTTCATTTAAGTATTGCAAAAGGTGTGTTTAAATGACTTCTCACATACTTTATAGAGACTTTAAAATGTAACTTTCATTCATTCATTTTTATAGAATACTACCAAAGCTCATAATGAAACGAATCGTAATTTATTTAAAGTGGAACATAATGAAAGTAATAAAGTTCTTGCAATTCAATAACCGCTCCAACTAATTCATAAGTGATTGTGATTAACTAAAGATAACTGGCTTTTGTGAATCATAATTCGTTAGAAAATCAGACTACATGGGTTGTGCTGTATATTTTTAATTTGCTAAAAAGAACCGGCTCATAGGAGTCATTTGTCCAGGATTTGAAAAAATAGAACCGAGGAAACTTCCCACCTCAACAAATGTAATGTAAACATATACATTTTATTTCGTTTCCTTTCAATTCTGAAGGTGTTGCTGAAGGTCATTGCAGGGTCAGGTGACTTCTGTTACTCTAAAGGTCATGAATTGACCTTGCATGGGTTTGAATCACCACACTTGCCCTTCCATCTTCAAACACCATCCAGTGCTCTGCTGTCTCTACCCACAATCAATCCTCGATTCTGATGTGCCATTAGGAAAACTGTGTGCATGTCAAATCTTGCATAATAATTTTCAGGAACTCATCTTGGATATTGCATAAAACATCCTTTGAGAAAACCTCCATGTGACCACAACCTCCCCGTGGATAAAAACATCAGAACATCAATTAAAGTTATTCTTGGAGTTACATATATCACTGTACAAAAAAATACATTCTGAATAAAGCCTTTACCTTGTTCTTACAGGACTCCATCATGAATGCCTGTCACCGTGGCTGTCGTCTCTACTCTATCTGCCAGTTTGTGAATGGAAATACAGGCATTAATACCAGCAAGGAAGAGTGCCAGGGAGGTATGAACTATTTTGACCAGTTTTGGGAAGTAGCTAACTAAAAGGGCCAACACTACTAACTTAACTACATCAAACATGCTAACCTAAAGGGTAAAGGTTTGGAAAGACGGATTAATTCTAGTGAGTCAATTTGTCCTAAATGATCCTCTTACTCATACGTAGCGTCCAAATTATTGTTTTTTTAATTTTTAAAATATATATTTGTTATTATTTTTGGCATTTTTTGCGATAGCACAGATCAGATATGACAGGAAGCAAAGTGGGAGAGAGAGAGGGGGGTGGGTTCGGGAAAGGTCCTCGAGTCGGGATTTGAACACGGGACGCCTGAAGCGCAACGGCGCTGTATGTCAGCCACTGCCCACAAGGCAGTCCAAATAATTCTAGTGAAATGGTTTGTTCAGATAGTTCATGTAAATGAACAGATTTTGAAAATAATTCACTGATTTAACTCCCTGCACAATGATTTGGACTCAGTTATATAAATTAGTTTTGTTGTGGTATTTAATGTAAATGTACCTTGTGAAGGTTTGATATTATCAGTCTAATTGAGATTCATGCATTCAAAATCCTTAACATTTTTGTGTTAGCAAAAATTCTGTATCTTTTTCTAGTTTTCGTTAGCAGCTTGTGGCTAACTACTTCAAATTATGATTAGCTTGTAGCTCGCTAAGCTACAGTTTCAGTTTCTTTCACCTTCAAATTAAAATGTCCCATATTTCACTGCATTTCATGCACAAAAATTTGATGGTACTGTACTGTTACTGTTACAGTAACAGTAAACATGACTGCATCTTGAAGGGATAGTTCACCCAAAAATGAAAATTACTCCATGATTTACTCCTCCTCAAGCCATCCTAGGAGTATATATCTTTCTTCTTTCAGATGAATACAATTGGAGTTATATTAAAAATGTCCTGACTTTTCCAAGCTTTATAATGGCAGTGAATGGCTGTTGAGAATTTAAAGTCTAATAAAGTGCATCCATCCATCATAAAAAGTGCTCCGCATGGCTCCGGGGAGTTAATAAAGGTCTTCTGAAGAGATTTGATGCGTTTGTGTCAGAAAAATATCTATATTTAAACCATTATAAACCGTAATCCTTAGCTTTCACTAACTGTCGTACACACATTCATGAGAGAGTAGCATTCCAGCGGATGATGTAGGACATAGGTGTAGCGTAAACTCTGGTGAGAATATGCTAGTAATATGCTAGAGATTGCGGTTTATGAAGGTTTAAATATGGATATTTTTCTTACACAAATGCATTGATTCACTTCAGAAGACCATTCACTGCCATTATAAAGCCTGGAAGAGCCAGGATATTTTTTTATATAACTCTGATTGTGTTCGTCTGAGAAAAGAAAGTCATATACATCTAGGATGGCTTGAGGGTGAATCATGGGGTAATTTTCATTTTTGGGTGAACTATCCTGTTAAGTCCAGTTTTTCTGCCCCAAAATCTCTTGAGCTAATATCATAACTCTGATTTCAGCGCTTGTAGTCACAAACTTACCAAGAGGACTTGAACGCAGTTTAATCTCTTGGTCACATTTGCAAAAGTTTTCCTGTCTATCATCA